GCCTGGCAATTCCAATCGGATTAGAGTTCTGCTCTGTGTTATGTGTAGCAGCACACTCTGCAAGAAATGCCTCTTCTGCAAAAACTTCATGTTTTATTTGGGTTTTTAAGGTGTAATTGGATATATCATCTCTTCCATACTTAAATTATTCATGTTGTCATCTTGTTTAAACAGCAGAATGTTTTAGAAGTGCTAGACCTGGGGTCTGTTCCCTGTATTCTTTGTGAACGTACTTGCTGAATGAGGCCTGGACTTGTAAATAAATCTGCAAGTCTTAGATTCATTTCTGGCAAATAATTGAAACCCTCACCCAGAATTAATCATTTAAATACTTGGAAGGTGTATTGTGAGGGTGAAAACATTATTGTAGGTATTCGTAGAATAAAATGGAAATGTTTTTCTTTTCATTTCCTCATGGTTCTGCTCCCTTGTCAAATATTATCAGACTCTAACTGTGCAATCTATGAAGCTGCCAGGTTTAATCAAGCAGTTCCACAAAGGCAAAAATTAATCATTTTGGCCTTTAATTTTGTTATAAAAATGCAAAGGGTTTTTTTGGTCATACATCTTGTTATTTTAAATTATTAAACCCACAATTTTCTGTGTTCAGGAACTACTCTTTTCTGCTGGTAAAAGGTTTGTGGTTCTGAGAGAGGCTCAGACTGGCAGGTGCCGGGAGGTTTGGGAGGTATTAAATCGGTGCTGCCGGTAGGCGTGGTTGTGCAACACAGTTGCCTCACAAAAAGGTGAAGCTAAATCTCGCCACTCTCTTGTCTTCTGTGGGATAATTTGTGTCAGTGCTGGTTTTCCTGCCCAGTCATCCTGCCCTGTCCTGGAGACTGTTCCCTTGGCCTTCCCAAAATGCAAAGAATCCACATCTGCCCTTCTTGGAAAATACATTATTAAGCAAAGGTAGCTTAGCAAATTATCAAAACACAAATACTGTGGAGTGGAAGAATAAAAATTGTTGGTTCACTCATTTGTTCCAATTCCTGGGAGTGCTGGTGACACAGGAGGCAAACAAGTGAACCCCCATTTCTGTGTGATGGAAAAGTCATGTGCAGTTCTGGGCTGATGGGGCTGTAAAATGTTGATGTGGTTCCATAACATTAGGGTGGCTCCATAGAAGAAAATGTATAGAAAATGCTGCTAAATACGTTTATCAAATTAACGCAAATAAAAAAGCTTCTTTTAGGAATACCCAGTCCACAGATGTCTGAAGCTGGGGAGAGCCACATCCTTGCCCTGTTCCCTTCCTTCCCCTCCTTGTTTTAGCCTCTGTTAGGGAAAAGGTGTTGGATTTAGAGCTGTCTTTGGTCTCATTTGGTGACTCTTGGGTTTCATGGAGCCTTTATTATCATCTGGGTATTACAGGGAAGAAAATAATGTTTATCTTATTCAGCTCTTACATCTAGCACATATTGTGTCATACTTTTAATAGCTGGGTTAATATGAAGAAACATTTTAGGGAAAGATACATGCTCATTGTAATATTAGTTTACCAGTTTGGAATAATATTATTTTCTTAAATAATAGTCAGATAATTTACTATTGATCTAGTATTTAATTCTAGTCTTTAATACTAATCAATCTAAATCAATCTTAAGCTCAGGGATTGATTTATGTTCTGTGTTAAGCGGTGACAATGAGTAGTAGTTGAAAACAAAATGCTGTATAAGGACTGTGAAATTCCAGTGTTTGTGTTTACCCTAAGTAAACACATACTCCAAATTCTTAGCTGGTGTGATAGAGGTGTGAGTTTAAAACATGCTTATGTGTTATAAAGCATAAATTACATCATCAGAGAACTTGAGAACTTTGACATTTATAGCACAGAACACAATTCAGTGCTTGCTGTGATTGTACCTTGTCAAGGTATTTTGGGTATGGAGCAATACAACTGCAGCTGTGCCTCTCTCCTGTGTTCTCCCTGCCATTCCTCCTGAAGTGGGTTTAGTTGAAGATCTACTGAGGGATGGTCAGTGCATAATCTGAATAACTGCAAGCTGAGTGTAGTACTTGGTAATTTTTTATAAAAATTAAATTGCATACTTTAACTTGAAACACTTGTTCTCCAAGTGTCATCTAAAAGTATTGCAAACTACCAGAATTTTAATAAGGCAGATAATATTAACAATGAGTCAAGAACTGGAAAAAAGTGTCACAAAGTCCAAGAAGATCTATCTTTTCTAAATGAAGATGTGTTGAAAATTCACAAAATTAAGATTTCCCCCCCCACCCTGCCCCCCAAATTAACCCATAGAGTCCAGTAAAACATGGCCTGACCAACATTTTATGATAAAGAAAAATCAAAATGTGGTTTAACATATTTGATCTGTTCCAGTAGAAATTATTTCTATTGTGGATGTGAAAACCTGGGAAATAAATAATAATTTTTAAAAGGCCAATTTAATGATCAAGAGACACATAGTTTAGATTTGGAGAAGGAAAAAGAAGCAATGTAAACATGGAAAGCTCTTGAACTGATTTTGTTTCTCAGCCCTCACTTAAGTTCTTCTGATTTCTTCTGATTGTTGTATCTTGGACAGTGGGGAGGGAAAGGGCTCTGTTCCTTTATGAAAATAAATTACTCATGAGCTGAACTGATGTTATGTAGTGTAAATAGAACATTATGCAAGATCAAAATATTTTTGTAGGCTTCACTGAAATGTGTAGAAATAGGTTAAAAAAATAAGAAAGTACATGAGAAGGCATATAGCCTTGTCAGTTCATTGCATAACATTCTGTAAATGTAAAGGAAAAAATGATGTTTTAAGGGAATGAGCAGCTGGATGTGTTGGGCTGGATAGTTCTCTGGCATTTCCCTGTTGTTCTGTGTTTTCCCACTGTTCATGTGACAAATGTGACACATTTCTCTTACTGTGGTTATCAAGGCATTGACATGCATTTGAGAAGAAAAATGATCAGTGGCAGCATTGCAGGCCAGGTGAGACTGGGTGGGGAGGCTGCGACACAGGAACCTGAATGGGAAAATATTATAAGAGGAAGGTACATTTTAAATTATATCACAACAAAAATGGAGCCACCTCTGTGGCTGGCAGCAGAAAGTAACAACGACACAGGTGAAATCTGATTCAGCATTTCTCTGTGAGTTGTGTTCTCCTCTTTGCCATCCCAATGAGGTCCCAAACCAGTCACTAGCACAGGACAGCAGGAGCTCAGGTGGTGACCCGTTGGTAATGTCAGGGGGTTGTTCCCAGCATTCCAGCCCTTTCCCATCCCGGTGTCCTGCCCCAGCTGCAGTCAGGGCTGGAGCTTTCCCCAGGCTCCGGTGCCTCCTGGGATAGGCCCTTGCAAAGCCAAGGGTGGGACACATCCATAGATTTGGAACTTGAGCGATTATTTAATTTCTGTCACCCACAGTATCTTATGAGGAGTTTCACAGTCTATGCACTGTGTGGAAAAGCACTTTAATGAAGTCCTGAACTCTGCTGCTTCATTTGACACTGCTCTGCTTTTTGAATTGGAAGAGGTGAATAGCCACAGTTCCCTGTGCACCTTCTGTCAGTTATCCCCTCTCCACTCTTTCAGCCTTCCTAGTACAGAAGTCCCATCTTGGTTAACAATCAATCACATAAAAGCCCTTATTCAGTCCTTGCTATGTCCTCTCTCACTTCTTTCTGCCTGTTCTTATGCTGGTCAGTCCTTTTTGGCAGAGGATTAGCTTTTGACAAAGGAGAAAACTGGCACATGGGGTTCACTGGTAATTTTATGCAGTACTGTGGGTAATGGCATCTTCCCTTTTTCCCCAAATAATACAATAATACTGTGTGTGATGTAGGGTGGTCTCTGACAGTGACTGAGCACTGAGTTTTATGGTAAGACCTCTGACAATCCAGGCTTCCCCTCAGTGTGGCACTAGCAAGGGAGGAGATGATTTTGTGTGTGAGGTGAGGATTGTTCATCCCCCATGGAATAGCACGCAGGTGAACTGCACACAGTTCATCTGCCAGTTCTGCTTGTGCAGCTTGGGTCCATCTGGAACTCTCTATTACTCTGAATAGCCTGAGTGGCATTATAAACTTTGTGACTTCTCTAAATGATGAGCTTTTTTGGATCATTTAGGAATACTTGAAACAGGAAAGATTCCAACAGAGATCCCTTCAGAGCTTGCTGCTCAATCTGTACTCAATAAGAGAAATAACTCTTCTATTTCACATCACTTTGCTGATTATTTATCTGTGCAAACACCTTCCCACTTTATCACAGGCAAGTGCAGTTTCTTCAAGAGCTATTGACAGGGGCTATTTGAGAACACAGTTTGTAAAACCTCCTGAATTGTATCAATTAGATGTTCTTTGTTCACATAGCAAGGAGCTGCTTTAGGAGGAGTCAAAGGTGTGCAAAGATGCATTGGCTTAACAGGTCCTGTTTACCTTTTGATACAGTTTCTCTTCTGCTGGTGACTTGCAATGCAGCTGTTTATATGATGCTGCCTCAGACCATATCCATAGGCAAGGAAAAATCTGTCATCCCCTGGATCCTTGACTTTTGAAACCATTATTCCAATGCCGCTTGTTCTAATATGTTGTACCCCACAGTGCTTTCATACGTTCTGATACAGCATGAGAGTCATTGCCTGTGTGAACTGGTTTGTGCCTTTCTTACTGGTAAATTCCAGAGGTGAAGAGGGAAGGATTTCTTTCACTGTAGTCCAGTTTAAGTACCACAGATAAGGGACTTCAGTCTTGGAGATAATTCCTGAATCACATGGCATGTGGTGCTTTTTCAAAGCATTCCTCTTTAGCAGAATGCTGGCTTTAACTGCTGGCTGAAATGACTTTGTGAGGGGATCTACGACCTCCTTATAGACCTGAATGATGGCAACAGGCTTCATATCTGAAAATGGGTATTAAATATTTCAGCAGTGTGTCCTGGAGTCCAAGGGGGATCAGTCAGATCTGTAAACTGGTGGGTAAAAGCTTTGCTTTGTGCCTGTTTTGATGAGGTTTTACTTGTGTATTCTGGTGATCGAGAACATGAATCTCGTAAAAAATGATGGAAGCTTACGGATTGATGGACAGTTTGTAGGTGATCACGTAGGGTAAAGAATATCTCTGTGGAAAGGAAAGCAATCAATTGTCAGAGTCCTCTCTGGAAATTATTTTCTTTGGAATAGTTGAATTACTCTGAATTTCTCTGTATTTCTCATTTATATTTGCGATCATATTTTTCAAATAATGCTGCTAAGAAGAACTGAGTACCTAAAAGGGACTTTATAAATAAGATTGTCTTGTGTAATGCATTTTTAGCTTAACAAATGAGTAACATCAATAACTTTTTTGGAAGTAACTGTTGGAATAATAAATTGCACTATAAAAGAGCTTTAAATTTCTGCGATTCTGTCATAATCAGGAGTTGTTTTTACTATTCTTTTTTATTTCAGAAATGTTAAATTTTGTTCTCATTATGCAGTTTAGCAAGACAGTGTGGTCTATTGGGTCAATTTATTTGGGTTCGTTAATTTTTCCTGACTTTGATTTAATGTGGCTGGAAAATCATTTACTTTTGAGATTTAGCTTCCACTCTTTTGATAATATCTATATTGCTACTCACCAATCCTATGGATTGATTATAAAAATTGTCAAACAGAAGAGACTTACACAACTTATTGATGATTACAAAAGGAATTAGATTCTATACTGTTGTATTGAGAATGAAGGGGAGGGTGTTACTTTGTACGAGAATTAATTCTCTAATTGAGTATGATCACCGAGATTGTATCTAGAGCTGATGGGATCAGTTGACTTCTGTTTTGTGATTTTTGCTTATTTATTCTTTTTTTGAGTGAAGTAGACCTAAGGAAAGAGCTCTGTCTATCTTATTAATAGGGCACTCTGAATTCTAAAGAGCCAATTACATATTGTAGAGTCCTTGTATCAGATGTTCTTTGTGTGAACAGTAGAATCCTTTTAAAAATGGATAGTTTGTGTCTGTAAACTAACACATCTATTAGATTTACTTCCTGTAAGACTTAAATATATTAAAGTCACCATTCCTGACCATATTTTAAAAAATTATTCTATCAGCAATTGAAAAAACCTTTGGTACTGTCTCTTGCTGGTGCCTGTCCTTTAGCTTTTATTCTAAACCCACCTGTATTATTACATAATAGGCATCTATTTGATGGCAAAGAACTGGTAATTTCTTTCCTGTTGCATCCTTGGTTCAGTAGCTTTAATATAGTAAATAATTGTCATAGGAAGTCAGCTACTGTTTACTAATTCAAAGCACCTAACGCAGCATTAGCATGCAATAATATTTTCCAGAGTTACTGTTTCTTCTTTGGCTTGGCTGAGTAAGACCAGTCAAGTTGTTTTTCCTTCATGATTTAACTTTTCTATTGTCTACAGCCACTAACATCAACATGTCCCATGACTGGTGTCTCTGTCGTGAGATCCGTGGCATGTTCAGAAAAGATGGAAATGGTCTGGAAACTGGTTTTTAATATTATTCTGCCTGTATTAATTCTTACAATTAAGGATGTATCTAAAATTACTCTTTTAAATTAATTTCTTATTACTGTATTGACACTTTTCCATTTTATTTTCTGGTGTTTTCAAAGGTAGCTTTTTACCCAAAGTGTTTGAAATTCCCCTTTTTGAGACATACATGAATTTTTTAGTGGTTTTGTTGGTTTGAACTAAAAAAATCACATTTTAATACAGGACTTTGTGGTATTTTGCAAAGCACCTTGTACTTTCTTGATTTCATAAAATTGCCAATTAGAAAAAAAAAATTTCTGTCTTTAAAGGATCCAGCTATCTAAAATACTGAAGGGGAAAAAAAAGGAGAAGGGGAAAAAAGGGAAAAGCCATTGGAGGTTTGATTATGTCCTGACAGTTTATCATTTCATTTGTCAGTGTTCCTGCACTTTGGAAGAGGCTTCAAGTAGTTTTTCTTTGGTTGAAATCCATATTTATGATTTCTTCATGGCTGAAGAATGGATCCAGAATGCTGATGAGCTTAGTTTTTGTTGGATTATACTGTCTGCATTATTCCAGTCTGGAGCCAGTTGTGTTTCTCCTGCCTCTGATGTAAACAAGAATTTAAAGCCTCATTTAACTGACGGTGGCTTCTGCTGGGCCATAAGAGCTGAGAGAGCAGTTTAGGTTTGTTGATGAAATTCTGAGTTCTTAACTCTTGGGATTAAATCCTGCATTGAGTCTCACAGTGGAAATGCAAGCATTTGATGCCATTTGGTTCCCTTTAGATTTTTTTTTTCACTCTTTCTTGTATTGGCCTCATCTGTGTGGGTGTTTGCCTGGTGGGTGTAGTTTGTTCTTTCTTGTCCTTGCCCGTTAGGAAGCGTGTGTGGATAGGGTTCAAATGCAGTTTGTTTTGGTGGACGTTTTGCCTCTGCTTTTCTCATTATTTCTTAGAAATTCAAGGTTCAAGAGACCTATCTCGTGGTACATAGTGCAGATGGGAGGCTTGGGTTCCGTGGTGTTCTTCCCCTGGACTTGAGCCTGTGTGCTTCATGTGCAGGCAGAGAGACTGGTGCCTTTGGCACAGGAGGATCCTTAGGGAGGAACTGAACTCAGCTGGCTGGAGCATGCTGCTGATAACTCCAGGGCTGTGGCTTTGATCCCTCTCTGGGCCATTCACTCGAGTTGGACTCGATAACTCTGGTGGGTCCCTTCCAGCTCAGAATGTTCTGTGAAATGTGCCTCTATCCCATGGGAACGTGTTGACCGCAGCTGGAGTGTTTGCATTCCAAGGGGAGCGTTCTCTCGAATTGGAGAAAAGGGTGGTGCCCACTGGGGGTCACTGTTTCAACTCTTGGAATTCCACTTGGAATGCTCCGGGGTGTGTAGGTGGCTACAGGGGAGCTCTCCTGACCCTGTGTTTACCTGGAACAAGGTACTGGAGCGCTTCAAACTGTGCCTCGTGAAGTTTTTAATGCTGGGACTGGGGGGGAGGTAGGACCTTACCTGCAATTCACCCTTTGTTCGGACATCTCAGTTTGAGGGAACTACCCATGCTCATGTCCCTGTTGTGTTTTGATAAATATAGCTGAAGAATATATCATTTTACACTGTGAATTTTTAAAATGGAGATTTACTTAATATTTTTATTTATTGTGTTAATATTTTCTGGAGCATTAAGATGTGTTCTTATTCTCCCTGGTTAATGAAAATTAAAGATACCTGGAAAAGTAAGGTGTGTTCTCATGTTAGATGGTGCTTATGAAGAGTAAAGATGCTTATGTATTCTTTCATACGTCTGCTTAAATATAATGTATGGTATTACAGGATTTTTGCAGTGTATTAGATGCACAGATGGTATTTGAAATAGTTTCAACTTGGAGAAAAGTAATTGCTGGAGTTGAATTCCTGTTGTAATCTCTGCAATTTGGGCAGCCTGTTCCATTGATGGGTTGTGGAGGAGACTTTGTATTCAATACGAATCAGAGGTTGCTGATTAAAGTGATTACAATCCTTGCTTAATTTAAAAATCTTTTATAAAGCTTAGCTTTTATTTTGTTGTTGAGCTTAATTTCTGATAAGGGCCGGAATAAAGATACCTGTTCAGGAAAAGTTGGCTGACAGGTTTTCTGGGCAGCTATGTAAGAGCTATTTTTGTGCAGGGAGTGAGCTAAAGGGCTATGCTTAGAAGAAAATTCACACAAAGATCCAAGCCTCATATGTCTCTCTCTCTCTTTTTCCCCACCCTCTAGTGATATGCAGCTTCCGAGGAACTGTTCCACAAGGCTTGGTCCTGGAACTAGGTGAAACTGTCCAGATCCTGGAGAAATGTGAAGGTAAGTGGCATGTCCAAGAAGGAACCCCATTTTCTATGTAAGAATATACAGCTATCTTAATCTAGCAGATTTTAATAAGTTCTTTGGAAATCATGATGCATCAAATCAAAGCACTTGAATAAAACCTACTCTGACCCACTTTCCGTAGGAAAGGCTGAGTGCTCTTGGCACTAATCCAGTCTGATAGGGGGTCAGTGTGTTTGAAGTTAACCATCTGTCCAGAAAATCTTGAACCCTGACCTGATTGTTGCATTGTAACTGGGTCTTATGCTGAATTTTCATCATGTAAAGTATAGAATCAGTATTGTTTTTTACTATATTTTTTCAGTGTTACTGTTATGCATTTCTATTAAGTGTATCAGTTTAATAAGTTAGAAACATCTGAATAAGTGGAAAATACTAGTTATTAAGAAGATTAGCAATACTAGAAAAAAATGTGAAAAATATGGGTTATGGGGAGATTTTTTTTTTTCCTTTTTCTTGACATGTGTTTTTGTACCTAAAGCAAAATGCCACTGTAAATTTTATAGTTGTTATGTGCCTGGAGATGTCTGTGTGTGAATAAATTGAATATCCTAATGCTCTGCTTTATTCACAGTGAAGAATGTGATTTGAAGTTGTATGTAAAAGGAGAATTATTCTTATCCTAATGTTCAAGCAAGTGTTGTAAAACATGTCTGGTGAGAAGTAGGTTGACAAGATACAGTATGAGAACATGTTTCACTATAGTCTGAGGTGGAATAATGTAACCTTAATTCTGAAGTGTTAAACAAATTCAAAACCCAGATCCACAAATTTGAATTCCAAAATAACATACCACAAAGTTGTAGATGTGGTTTTTTATTTGTTCAGTTTAAAGTAATTTTTCATCTCCAGTGTTAATGTTGCTCCCCAGACCTTCTGCGTGCTTGTCAGCAGCCTCTACTTTGCCTCTCTCATGCCTTGAAGTGTCTTTTGCTCTCAATGCTTTTTCTTGTACTCAGGTGTTTGTTTTCCCACTGAAAAAAAAAAGTCACCTTTTCTGTGCTAATTTTTGTAGTAACATACGTTTGTAAAAATTCTGTTGAGTGAGAGTTTTGCAGTGCAGTGGAGAAAATGAACCACAGAGGAGCTTGCTGTAAACAATCCCATGATTTTTTAAAAACCACAGGTGGTGTGATGGGCTAAGCTGTGCTCACACACTGAGGGCAGATTGTAGTTAATCTACCAGATCTTGTGAATTAGAATGTGGTGCAAGCTCAGGGAAAAAGTATCCCTTTGCTTAGGATGGGATAACTCTAAGGGAGTTAAACACGTTGTGTTGTTGAAAGCAGTCACGGTATTTTCCAACCATTTCTGAGAAATTTTTAAAACTGGGAAATAAAAGCACAATCTCCAAGGAGCAGGTTGTTTATGGAAAAGCAAATGGATAATCCAACTTGTCTTTACAGTGTTAAAATAATTAGGCTGTGAATATTTCCTTTGCTGGTAGTTTTGAGGATGATTCTTCTAAAGCAATTCACGTCAGTCTTCAAATTGCTGAGAAAGGAGGTCCTCAGACAGGGTTTTCCTGGATGGAAGAAGGTTTGTACAGAATTTTTTGGTTTTATTTTTAAGCTTTCTATCCTGTCATTTTGGTTGAGATGCCTTTACCATGGACTTTATGTATAAAAAGATACATTAATTTTGATAATAACATCTGGAACTCCACACTATGAAACTGATCTGAATATTCAGATGATCTGTGCTACAGCTCTTGCATGTGTGAATTATGCAAAAAAGCACACTAAATGTGCAAAGTAGGCTCTTAAAAGGGGGAAAAAAAGCAGTTGCTTTTTAAGCATTCTTGTCTAAGTGGTTGTTTAACAGGGTCCTCTACTTCTGCATTATTTGCTGGGGATTCTTTTGTGTAGACAGACTGGATAAAATAATGTTAACCCACACAAAATAAGGGTCACTGCTGTGAGAGTCACAGGAGATCCATTGCTGTTTCAGCTTCACTTCTGAATAGTTTATGCATGATTGTCTGCAGCGAGGATTTTTCTGCCTGGGTTGAAAAGATTCACATACACAAAAACTTTTAGTGATGTGAACTATGATTTCAGAGACTCACCGAAGAATTCAAGGCTGACAAAGATTCAAAGAGTAGCTATACTTCTGAATTATTTTTAATCGTAATAGCTTACTGAATAACTGTATTTGTGTTATAAAAGAGTAGTGACTTGTGTAAGAAGCACTCCCTGCTTTTAGAGCAATTGAATGAAAGAGGAGGGAATTTCCTTTTTCAAGATTTTGGGTACCACTGTAGCGAAGTTCTATAGATATTTGCAGATTAAAGAAATAAATGTAGGTACATACACCCACATACCTGTATTTGTCTCTAATGTTAATAAATATAAATACCAACTGATAACATGTTAAAAATATTGTGATTGTCTATGCATTTTTAAGATAAAATGGATTGAAATACAGCTGTCTTTTTAATTTGGATCTTGTTCACACACTTGAAATTTCAACTTTTGGATTTCCCCAAATTTGTATTTTGTTTGCCTGCTCCTCTGTGTGCCTTCATACCTGACCACAAATATCTAAGTTGCTGGTTTTTAACCCTTCCTAAGTCTGACAAAGGCCTCCCACTGCTCACTATTCCAGTAAATCAAACCCATGGAATTGGTACCTGCCTTTCTTCTGCAGCTACCAAAGGCTCCACCTGTGTATCCATCAAACACGTACCATCTGTGAAGCACCAGGTGTTACCTGGCAGGTTTTGTACTTACTGCTTTCATAAAGGACTCTCAGATCCTCCCCTGGTCTCAGTCAAAGGTTAGAAATGTTCATCAAGACACCACTTAGACTTGTGCTTGTCATTCACAGCTTTCCCCCTCTCTGTTCCCCTCTCTGGGCCCTTCCACTTAGGATCTTGGCACCGGGGGAGCTCTCTGCTCTGCCTGGCGTGCCTGGAGGAGCTGGAGGGGCATTAGTGTGGCACTTGGAAATGCTGAAAGATGGAGTTTTCTTTGGTCAAGTGACAAAGCATGAGCACACTCCTGGTTTAAAATGCACATTTGGACTGTGCATTCTAAAGAACACCCTGTCTTTGGAGTCACATGGCCATTGCCCTGCCACAGGCAGTGGCTGTCAGTAACTAGTGGCATTCAGACTAAATTTAAAACGTCTCTTTTGTCCATTTGTTTTTATTGTTAGAGGGCAATTTTCTTTAGATTAAAAATGCTATAACTTCAGTAACTGCAGTTATTACCTTGAGAATTTTGTATATTCACTGAAGAATGGAAACACCAGCTGATGCCTGAAGTGCCAGTTAAAAGACTATTATCTTAGCCATGCAAATTCTACTATCCACAGAAGTATTTATCTACATGGTTTTCACGTGTGTACATTAGTAATTGTGTTTTTAAACCATGCATAAAATATATTTAAAATTTCCCTCTGTTATTCCAGCAGTGATGGCATGGTCAAAATATGTGTTTCTGGTGTTTGGGACACTTAAGCAGCAGATATACCAAGCAATTAGGGCTCTTTTTAAAAATTCTTGATGAATTCAAAGTGCTTGAGAAGTGGTGCCTTTGCCATGCTTCCAAGCTGTGCCATTCAGATGAGGGGGGAATCCCACTCCAGGCTGTCAGTGCTGTGGGAGCCCTGCAGGTTTCCTTTCATCTGAGTCGGGAGCTCTCCCATGGCTGCCTGGGCCAAAGTGACTCCTTCCCAGTAATTTGTGTTTGGCCTGAGGACAATGTCTCCAGTGAGATATCCCTTTTCCTGTTTGTTTTTTTCCTGCCTTTTCATCTTTTTTTTCCCTCTTTGCCTTTTGTGGAATGTGCCCATGGAAGCGAAGCCTCTCAGACTCTCACCTCTGCTGCAGCAGATCCCGCCCAGATATTGAAAGTCATCTTTCAGAGCACAGGAGCGGCTTCTTGACATCCCTGTGGCCAGTGCCACGACAAAACACATCCCATCTCTCTTTGCCTTTTATTGTGGCAGCCCTTGCAGCATTATCAGCATATTCCCGTGGCTGTGCTGGCCCCAGGCTGGCCCGGGGGTTCAGCTGCTGCTCCTCCTGCCCAGCACGCACGGAGCAGCCAGCTCAGGACAGAGCGCTCCAGGCATCGGGAGGCTTTTGCTGAGCGCTGCTCCTGTCCCTCTCCTGGCTCGCTTTGGGTGCCTTTAGCTCTGCACAGCAGTTCACATGCAGATAACAAGGTAAAAACAATTGTTTATTGGCTTGTATGTACAAAAGAGAGCTTTGCTCCAGGTGTGAGGGTTACTCACAATACTGCCAAGTATATTTTTGCAGGGCAAAGAATGCTCTGCTCTGCTGTAGCAGATTCTACTATCAGTGCATTATTTAAAAACAGATTTTAGCTTTAGAATCTACCATAAATACTTTTGTAATTTATTTTCAGAATTTTGTTTGTCAAGAAATTACACGCAGAATTTATTTTTTCCTACAGTCTGCACCTTGTGATTCTTTACTTAACACTGATACTTGAGCTTTATTTTTCTGAAAAATAGATCAGTATCTTTCAATTGGGACCCTTTTGCTCTTTTGTTACTGAGTCCTCTAAAGGGGTGAGCTGTTTCCATATGACAGACCTCTTGTGGATTAAGTGGAAATCTGAAAAAGGTTATGTGATGGCTTTTAGAAAGAATATCCGGTTTCGTTCAACACACTTTCAAGTAAAGATCAAAAAAGCATTGGTAGCTCTTCTAGTCACTGAAATGAAGAGGTTGAGATGTGCAGCACTGCCCCAGAGCTACTTTTGCAACTTAACTAAGGCTGCACTATTACTGAGACAAAGGTGTGACACACCTTTGGAAAGAGGGGTTTTTGATCTGTATCCAATGGTTTGCAGATTCTCTAATGTGGCTTCAAGTTCCCCCACTGGATTTCCATAGGTACAGGTAGTTTTAGAGTGGCATTTCTGATAGACTAATTCTTGGTTTTCTTGTACCAAATGGTATGTGTGGTATGGAATATCCCTTTGGTTGATTCAGGTCAGTCATCTCAGCTATGACCCCTCCCAACCTCACTGCAGATATCATTGTTTCACGTTAATTTATTCACAAAATTCTTGTCACTTCATAGCTGTGTTTTTCTGCTCCTTATTTTAAATCACATCTGCTTCACCATTTCTATGAAGTCAGTGCCTTCTGAAGACCATGTGTCACTAAATGCATGCCATAATTCTGAAATATTAGGTATTATTTGCAGTGCAGTGACACCTTAAACCTGTTGGTCAGTATTGTGTCTAACCAGGGAGTGCTTGTTGAGATCACAATTAGCTAAAGCACCTGCCTGGATTTGATGACTGTTGTCATTAAATCCTCCAAAACAAATGCTCTTTAAGATAAATGATTACATCAATATCAATGTGTTTAAGACTAATTCCTGAATGCAGGTTTAGTTCATTTTAGGGAATAATGTGATGCAGATGCAATTTTCTAAATGTGCATTTAAAAAAAGAAATCATTGTACCTTTTCCCATAGCTTTTACTTTGTGATACAGAATGAGTTCTGCATTTCACAGCGTAGGGCTTTCAGCTTCTGCTGAGCTCCTCAATTGTCTCTTGCTTGTACAGAGTTGAAGGAAACTCAAAATAGAGAGGGGTGACTTTAAAGCAATTATACCACATTAAAAAAGAAAAAAAAAACCTAACAACTAAGATCTGGAGATCACAATTCATACAATTAAAGGAAATGTAACAACTTTCCAAATATATGATGGAAACGGCAAGAGGCAAGTCAACAAAATGTTCCTCATGATGTCCAGATGAAAAAAATCAGGTGTTTAAATAGCATTGAAGAAGATTCAGGTTGTAAAAGTGCATGTATGTTGTCTGAGCCACTGAAATACGTTGCCCAGTGAGGATTTGCCATCTCCACTTGACATGAATATGCTAGATTTCTAAGTATTATACCAAAATTTCACAAGTTACCTGCAGTTTTACTGGCCAATGTTGATCCGTAGAAGAAATTTCTTCTAAAAAGCTGCCTGTGCAACACCACTGCTTTCAAACTCATCTGTGTGGAGTAGCAGAAATACCTTGGAATCTAGGTTTTATAAATGTATGGATCATTTTCCACGGACAAGGAGCGCAGTGTTATTCAGCCCTGATAATAAGTGATTGGATGCTGTTTAAACCAGACTAAATGTGAGGAGAGGTTTAGAGACGTGGCTTGGATGAGCTGGGTGATTTCTCAGGGTCCTTCCCTGCCTTTTTTCACAACTCTGTAAAGACAGCTTGTAAGCTTTGAAAGTTTGTTTTGGAATGAAGAACAAAGACTTGAGAAATTAGGTAGTCCTTGGAAATGTGTTTTGTTTACTACCCTGCAGATCTAGATTATTAATGGTCACTCACTTTACTGGGTTTTATTCTTTTACAGGTTTATTCACAAACTTGGATAAAACCACTTTTTTCCCCATTTACCAAGAAGTTTGTCATTCTCTTTGTCTTAGAGCTTAAATGTCTGGTTATTTCTGAGGTACAGACTGTATTTAATATTAGTAACAGTGAATCACAGGATAAATGCATTTATTTTTTTCTGTGACCTTAAAAATATGCAGCATCTGTTGCTAAAAAGCAGGTGTGGGCACAGTTGTGTGGAGTTCTAGAAATCACTCATGTTAAGGATCTGTATGTGTTTGTCAATATATGTTTACACTGATATGGTTGCCCTGAAGCTTGATCAACTAAAACAAATTCAAAACAACAATAATTTTATTTTTTAATATAAACAATGATTTCATAGGAAAACAAATCTTTGTGTTATGTCCTTCATGAGAAATTTGTGTAATGAAGATGGATTTTAAGTTTTTCTGTACTAAGGTTTGCAATTGTCCTGAATTCATCAGTTATTTTATTTCATATTGACTTAGATTCCCTTTTTAAAACAAGAATTCAAGACTGTCAGGCTGTCTTTAAAAGAAATTCAAGGCCTTCTTCCCCACGTCTGATCCTCTCAATGAGACTCTTATCGTAATTCAGCCAAATTTGTTTTTCTGAGAGACAAAATACCCAGTTACTTTGTTCTGTTCTTCTCTAGTCTCCATAGCAAATTACTGGCAGGTTTTGCCAGTGCAATTTTAAATAAGGGAGGGGAGAAGACAGTAGGTAGGAGGTCACAGGAAAATGAGAGGATGTTTCACGGGAAGTGGGTTTAGCTGATGTGGAAGTGTTGGCCTGTGGCAGGCATGGGCAGTGTCTGGCTGACACTGAATGTAACTTCTCATGATACCTGAGGCTGAGCTTGGCTTGGAGCTGGGCCTGCCCAGGAGTTTGGGATGGCTGGGCAGGGCCAGGCCCTTTCCCCAGAACTGGCACCCACTGTCCCCCGCAGCCCTGGGGCTGCTCCAGGCCCAGCTCCAGGGCATTCTGCTTTTCCACTCTTTGGCTGGATGAGGTTTTCAGTCCCTTTATTCCCGGCTGAATCCTGCAGTGACAACACTGTCACCTGTGGGAAGCGGCAGGAACTGGGTTCTCCTGTTCAACTTGCAGCTTTAGCAGTTTTGTGTTTGACTCCTCATTTATTGTCCTGTCTGGAGCTGTTTCCTGATGGGGGATACAAGAAAAATAATGGGATTTGTAAATTAGATCCTAAAGCCTGTTTGCTACTCAGACATGCGTAAGACCAGACACATGCAAAGAATTTATATATTTTTAAAGCACGTTAGAAATTTATGATAATGGCTGTTACAGGTTTCTGAAGTCTGGAGATTTTGTCAAGATAAGCACTACAACAAGACTCATGTGCCAGCCTGGGAGTGTTCAGTGCAGACTCTTCCCTGAGTGCTGAACGAATCTTTGCCACAGGGACTGGTGATTACTAGTACAGGAACTAACTAAACTGCTTTTATTCCTGGTGGGAAGAAACAAGAGCATTGCTGGTTGTTAAGGGTTTGTCATCACTGCAGAGCAAAATAAAAGTAATTTTAACAAAAAACCTTAACCAAAAATTCTTTTTAAAATTTCACCTATGTGAAGCACAACTGTTTTTTCAGATGATACCAGTAACTCAGTGCATAGTTGTAGTCAGTTTGCTTCTGTGTAAAGACAGCAGCACCAAAAATAATTATGTGTTTTATCTGGTTTCAGGTTGGTACAGAGGTGTGTCCATTAAGAAGCCCAGTGTCAAGGTAAGCATGAATTAATTTGTTAGTCTAACAGGAGATTAAATCTATTTTGCTGTTGCAACCCAGTAAACTTTTCATTTTCCTTCTCTAACTTTTTTTTCCTGTGGGAGGATTGGATTTCTTTTTAAATTGAGTGATACTCATTAATCACTCAAAGAATCAGAAACCTTCTTGACATGTAACATTTAATTTTTTCAACATTTATAAATCTCATCCAATTTGATCCTTTCCACTCTACTCCCCTAAGAAAAGCATAGGTGGGTGATACTGCATTGCTTTAATGCAGCATTTTTAAGAACATGTTTAAGAAGTTGAATTATTAATTTAAGACAACTTTGAAAGAAGTCTGTTGAAAAAGGATTTTGTGAGTTGTTCTGGGGAGGTTTCAGATTTTTAGAGTTCAACCACTATATTTGGTTTTTTTCCATTTTTTTCCATTGTTTTTGCTCTTGGAGAACTTTTTTGATTGTTCTGGTATGATTGTTTTTGTGAATGCATCTAAGTTTTTGTAAATGTTGGTATCCAAACATTCCAGTAGGTTCTTTTATATGAGCTTCACTTCGTTATCTGTTGGTTTAACTACTGCTTGTATTTAAAGAGAGAAGAGTATACCAGATTCCTTATGTTTACCTGTATTATGAAATATAATATTATCTGTATTACATTGTCATGACTATAGTTCTCCTTTAAAGAAATGTCTGCAGTCATTGTGTGTGTTGGTAGTTCTACTTGTGTGTATGTTCAGTTTTGACAGGAGAGCCATTCAAACCTTCCCTGGTTTCTTAGATACCAGAAATAAGCAGCATTAACTAGAAGTGAACCAAACAAGGAAGTGGAGGAGCATTTCTTCCTTTTCTGGATTTTCATGTGGCTGAAAGCAAACACATTTCCTGTTTTCCTGATAAAGCCATTCCTCTTAGATTCAGCTTTTTTCCTTCTATAATTTTAGTTTTGCCTATGAACAAGGAATTTTGCTTAGCATTTGGAATCCTGTTTGCTTAGTATTTCTTTCAAACCACCCCCCTGAAAATTTTTCTTCCTAAATTGTATGGTTTTGAAGGCCTAAAAATTGAAAGCCCACAGTTGATAGCTGACGTTTTTATCAGAGGCTGTCAGCTGGTTTTTAATCCAAAGATTTCCAATGCTGCTCCTGTATTTCCCACTGAAGTGCAGGATGCTGTTCTCACACACTGACAGACTTTGCTGTGGGGATTCAGGGCCCTGTGTTTTACAGAGAATGTGGAACACTGGAAAAAGGTTGGATTAAATTACCCCTTCTTCCCATGTCTCAACACACGAGCACACTGGCACAGGCAAGGTCAGAGTCCAGCCCGCATGGGAACAGCAAAAGACAAATAACTGGAGGTATTCCAAGTGGGTTTGAACAGCTTTTCCTTGGAAAGGGAGGAAAACTGACAGCTCCAGGGTATGCAAGTAATAGAATACTTCTGTCATGGGGGCTCAATGCAGAGTTGATGGTGGGCTTCTGGTTTTTGTTTAATTTGTGTTTTTAAGCCTCTGTCTGTGTCACCCTTAATCATCATAAGCCTGCTCTGAGAGCTGCTGGTGCTGTGCTGCAAACTGCAGAAGTTCACTTTTCTGATCTTGGTTTGGTCCAGTGTGGTGTCATGGTCTAAGACACACTAAAACAGCCACTAAGCTGAATGTAGAGTTTTGAGTGGCAGCTTTGACACAATGGTTGTTTGGGAGGTTTTTAATGGATATATTGGCAGTTATTTATTGTGCCTTAGGTTACCAATGCTAAAAACTGCAAATGTATTTTTCTAATGTACAGAATTTTTTCTCTTGCAGGGGATTTTTCCTGCAAATTATATTCACTTGAAAAAGGCAATTGTCAGTAACAGAGGGTGAGTATTTTCCCTTATTTTTATGAAGCTACAGTGCTTTTTATCTAGAAGGGAAACAAATAATTATTGAAACTTACAGAGATGTTTTAGTTCATTATATCTCTTTTGTGTGAGGGTTTGAAAATTAAATATAATTTTACAGAGTTGGGATTGTTTGTTTTTAATATAGCAAGAATCAGGTCTGATGGTTACTCTTGTTTGCTTTGGCTCATAAAATTGTAACTTTAGAGGTATCATCTGAAACACATGCATTTAAAGAGCTCTACTTACATTTTTCCATTTTTCCTTGTTCCCTCACTGGCAAAATACTGTATTTTCCTGTTTGTTATGGAGGCACCAGTCAGTAGACAGCTCATCTCATTTATCTACAGATTTTCAGAGTTATAACTGACAGGTAGCTGTGTTAGCTTGAATGTTTTGCAAAGGATCCAGCCCTCTCCACCTTACCCAAAGAGTGACTGAAGTGCACTGCTGAAACTTCTGCCCCTCTCTGTGTTTGTAGGTCACGTGTTGCTGGCAGTGGGTTTATTTCAGTTCATGTGAATTAACAACACTGGTAGCAATGTCATGTCAAGGAAGTTACTGATTGGGAGCTCTGGAACCTGCAAAGTTTCCTGTGAGATTGACTGGGACTCCTAAAATCAATACCTTGTGTTTTCATAGCTGCTTTTACTTGCATATTCCAGATAAAGGCTGCTGTGGTGAGATTTATAATTGCAATGTTTCAGACAGTGACCTGAGGCAACAAATTAAATGTGGAAGATAAAATGTATTAAATGGCACTTAGTGAACTACCTGCAGAAAAACAGGTGACTTCTGATAGTCTTGAATTGTAAATTTGTTCCCAAAGGGTTTCAGTAAAGGTTGTAAGGGCAGCTGTAATACTGATGCTTCATAATTCTGGGGTGTAACAAAATGATGTATATTGCATAGAATAACCACTCCTAATGTGTACTCTTCTTAGGGGAAGGAGCAGATCCCTGTGATGTGTAGTTAATTATCTTGCTGTTAGAGTTTGTGAAGGGAACCAGTTCAGTACTTACTAGGAAAGTTGATATACTGTTTAAAAGTATCAAAGCCTCATGCACCAGTTGATACAATAAAATGTAATGCAGTTCTGAACCAGAGGGGCATTTTTATTTCATGTTTTGTTTAAAACTTCTTTATTTCAGAATATATTTCAGGGGCCATTATAAGCACTTGTGAAATAACAGAGCATGTGTTGAACCTGACAGATAGCTGAACAGCACACAGCTGCCTGCTCACTGCCCCTGCCTCCCCAAACATCCCTGAAGACTTAGAGGGACTGTCCCCAGGGCTGGAGCACTCTGCTGTGAGGACAGGCTGGGAGAGCTGGGCTTGTTCAGCCTGAAGAGGAGAGAAGGCTCTGGACAGAGCTGCTTGTGGTCTTTCAGTATCTAAAAGGGGCTTGTAAGACGATGGGGACAGGCATTTTGGCAGGGTCTGTAGGAATCAGACAAGGGATGGTGGGTTTATATTTAAGGAAGACTTATTTTGGGCTGTGGGTAGTGAAATCTTGGCATAGTTTTCCCAGGGAGGTGGTGGCTGCCCCACCCCTGGAAGTGTTCAAGGCCAGGTTGGATGGGACTTGGAGCAACCTGGGACAGTGGAAGGTGTCCCTGCCCACAGCAATGGCGGGAATGAGATGAGCCTTGAAGTCTCTTCCAGTTCAAACTATTCTTGTGGTTCTCCTTTAATGGTTTTAGAAAATCTTTATCACAAAGGAACAAGTTTTATTCTTTTGATTAGAGGATAGACCCCTCGGATTTCATCTGCTATGCTCAGTAGGCCTTCTGGATAGGTCAGGTTAGGAGACAGCATGTATTTTGGGTAGTATTGATATTGGCTAACATTATTGGAGGGGGAAAAAGCAGTGGACTGGCTTAGGGAAGGGACCCAAATTGTGAAGGACCCCACTTTACAGGCAAGTTTAATTTAACATGCTGTAGTAAAGGAAACTTTTCATTGACCTTGATTAGAATGAAATGATGTATTTTGAACAGGTAACCAGGAAATGCTTAATCTTGTGGAATGCAATGGAGGAATAGTTGCTGACTCTGGAGTCACTTCAGTTTTACAACAGACAAAATGATCCTCTTGAGATATTCTCCTGATGTTGAGCAAATTCAAGTTCTAGAATTCTACAAATTACTGTGCTGTCACATTTATTTTTCTACCTTTTCAAGGGTACATTTCCTATTCTTTCCCCCTCTTTTTTTACAGGCAATATGAAACAGTTGTTCCTCTTGAAGATTCTGTGGTGACTGAAGTCACAGCGACGCTGCAGGAATGGGCCGTGCTCTGGAAACAGCTGTATGTGGTAAGAGCAGTGCTCCTCTTCTTGCACATCTCTAATACCCTGGGAGAAATGTTGCCTGCTTTTGTGCATTCAGAAACCATCAGAATCAATATCAGAACTGTTGGATTCCTTGTGAGATTTAATGAGGGTTCCCTAACTGCAGATTAATGGATCATGTGAGAGTCACGTGGGCTACACTGGAAATTTCTGCAGTTCTGAAATTCTACCTTCACATCTGAAAACTTCATTGTTACAAAAAAAGGCAACAATTTTAAAGTGCTATTAAATATGTAAGATATGATACAATATAATGCTTCTGTAACTCCCATCAAAGACTTGAAAAATTATTCAGCACCGTTTGTAAGTAGGTGTTTTAGTGCCTAGAGTCTGATAGGAGAAGAACTCAAACTATGGGAGGTTTTGTACAATTGTTCCTCCATAAATTAGAAGTAAACAGTAGGATAAGTGTATTGAGTTTTATATACATCTTTTTATATAATTTTTAGTTGCTGGCACATGATTCCTCCTACTTCTGCTTTCATCCCTCTTATTTTCTTACATTTTAATAGCCAAGGCCCGTGACATAGCAGACAAAAAACTTGAACATTTGAAGGTATTTTTCCCTGGTTTTTATTTTCTCTTTTTAGCTTAGTAATTGCAAGCCTTAATGGTAGGATTAGGATCAAGAACTGCAGGTGGTCTAAGCTTGCATTTCCCTCCTGTCCTTTGTTTAGAGAAATACCTCTACACAGAGCTGCAGCAGCTTTGTTTCCTCATTTAAACCCTTAAAATTTAAACTAGGAAACAAACACAGGAATGATCCAGTGGGTGCATCTCCAGCATAACCAGCTGTGTTCTGTACTTCAGAAAGCAATCAACCTTTATGAAATCAGTTTTACTCTTGCCGGTCCCAGTTCTTCTCTGGGGTCTGATGTCCCTGGAGGCATTTTCTTGGAAAGGAGCATCTGATCTAATGGAGGAGGGACAGGGCACATGGTATATACCATGTGTTATACCACCCTTTACACCTACTACTCCTCCTTTTTTCTTTTGTACATACTTACCTCTCTGGTGTATGGGAATAGAGTGATCTTTTCTGTTTTCTTCCTAAGAATCTTAATTCTAAGATTTTTTTTTTCTCCCCCTCTCCCCAGTGTCAGCTGAAGATGACAACAGTAATATTGGCAATGGTATTAAATTGGAAAAAGGGGAATAATTTTACCTACAAATGAGTTGAGCTTCCTTTCTTCTAAAGTATTTCTTTTTTATTGTTAACACCAGTTCCTTGAGGGGAAGGAGAGAGAAAGAAAAATCACTAAATGAAAGTTTATAGCTAGAGCTTTCTGGGACTGCTTTCTATTGTAGCTCATTATATTTCCTATAACATTGCACAAACCATTATTGTATCCTTAAATAACAGAGGAAAGAATTTACTGTTCTCTTAGAACATTGGAAGGAGGCATCTACTCCATGATGAAGAAATGGGCAGAGCTTCTGAGTAGAAAACACATTGTTTTGTGTTGTGGGTTTGTTTTATCCCAAAAACTTAAAAAAATAAAAATTCTAATATAGAAATAATCACAGAATTGTTTAGGTGGTCAAACAAGAAGTCAAACTGTTTAGAAGTCAAGAGACTTCTTGAGATCATCAGCTGCCTTCTCAAGCAGGATCAGCAGGACCAGGCTGACAGGACTGCACCAGGCAGGTTTTGAGTTCCTTCTGAATGGAAACTCCCCAGCTTCCCTGGGCCAAGCTGCCAATGTTTGAGCACCTTGAATGATTTCTTATCTCCAGGCCACTGATACAGCACCACAGCTTTTCTGGCAGAAGAACAATTTACACCATTGTTAAGTGGGTAATAGACATTTGTCCCATCTGTGGGCTGTACATTGGAAGCCTGAGGAAATGCACTGAGGTGCCTGTGGCAAAGCTGGGATTAAAAATTTATCCTTGGTGCTTAGGCTGGAAGCTGTGTAAGGACATACCTTAAAATATATTGAAAGACTAAATGGAAATCCTTGCTTATTGTTGGAGCAGCACCAGCAGAAATTTTTATTATTCCCAAACTGTAATAAGAATAATCTAAGAAATGTAATTAATGTTATTTATCATGCTGCTGTGCCTGGTCAGCTTTGTAGAAAAGTTTCTTACTGTAGAGGAAATTCAAGTCCTCGTTGTTGTACAGACACTCTTAGTAGGGCAGCGCCTGCAAAGGACCCTCCTCTGGTCAGTGAGGCTGCAAAGCAATGTGGGTAGCCCCTCTGAACATCTCTAAATAGGCTCAAATGTTCAGCTCATGCTTTTTGGTGAACTCATTACCTGGATTATGGATTCTTGAAAGACTAAGTTTGTTTCAATTAAAAATTCCCAGCAATTACCCCGGTGGTATTGGTGAGGTGCATTGTAAGGTTTGTATTTGTGTCTCAGTTAAACAATGGGAGCTGGGATGTAATACCCAGGAAGCCTGCAGTGATTAAAACACTGCCTGGAGAGGGATGTTATGTTGTTCCAAGATAAAGAAGTTCTGCTGACAGAAAATTGGAGAGAGGATGTGGAGAACAGTGAGAAACAGAGGGGTGAAGTAAAGCACAGCTTTGAGACAGTTGTAGAAAATTAGTTGGTGTAAAATATTGGGAATCTTTCTCGTTTCCCTCTGGCCACAGAGAGTCTGTGGTAGTGCCGGGAATAAACTGTGCATGGGAAAGCTTGAATGGCTTTGAGTTATGTTGAGTTAAAATTGTGCAACAATTTTAGTTTAGATTTCTGAGAAATGTGTTAGGAAGGTTAGGCTGAGATCATTGCATTACACAGGGCTGTGATAGTCTTGTAATTTTTGCTATCAAGGTAAAAGCCAAGTTTTGGTCTGAGGAGAAAAAGGCATTTGTCCATAATGAATTCATAGAGAAAGGGCTGTGCCTGAAATGAACTTAAAATAGAAAGATGTGGATGATGTGTTCTTTTCTTAACTGTGGTAACGAATTATGCTCTGAGTACTAGGATTCTGATCATATAACTGTTTAAATCCTGACAGAACAGCAAGTTTTTTTTTAAAATACCAGAGGTTTTTCTCCAATTGGAAAGCAATGCAAATAAAACTGGGGTGGAAACTATCAGAATCTGCTATTTGTATTGGATGGGAGTTTTTAGCAAAAATTATAACCTTGCTAAAAATTCTACACCTACTTAAAAATAATTTTTTTCTTAAATAATTAAGTAATCAGGAACAGAACTTAAATATTTATTATTTATTAAAGGAGTAAAGATGATAAAACTTTAATAGCTCTGGGGACAGACTTTTTAGCAGGGCCCACAGCAATAGGACAAGGGATAATGGTTTTAAATGAAAAGAAGTCAGATTCAGACTGGATACAAGGAAAAAGAATGATACTGTGAGAGTGGGGAGGTTCTGGCAGAGATTTCCCAGAGTAGCTGTGGCTGCCCCATCCCTGGCAGTGCCCAAGGCCAGGTTGGATGGGGCTTGGAGCAACCTGGGACAGTGGAAGGTGTCCCTGCCCATGGCAGGCAGTGGAACTGGGTGAGGTTTAAGGTCCCTTCCAGCCCAACCCATTCTGTGATTCTATGTAAGGAGCGCATTTTCCCCTATTTCAGTATGTAATCTGTGTGCAGACAAGGCAGTGTCGTGTCACTGGAAAATGGAAAGCAGTTCTTTGCCTTCTGATCTGGCTTGTATCCAGGCTGTATTCAGGCTGCAGAGATGAGCACTGAAACAGTGAGATACAGTAGCCACTTTCAAAAAAGCCACTCTTCTAGTTGACCTACTTGGTTTGGGTTTTCCTACTTTCACTGCTATTGTAAAACTCATTAGGAGGGAGCTCACTTGTGAGTGTGGATCTCAGAATTTAAAATCTGTACTACGTAGCCACTGGAGTTGCTGATAATGTGGATGACTGCTAACCACAGTTGGCTAGATGTGGTTTTGAGTGTGTGTTTACACACACAGTTGGGTACTGCCAAAAGGTGCACAGACCCCGTATCTTGTGCTGTTGTTTTGCCTGGCTCCAATATTCTCTGTTGTTCTTTAGATTCATTTGGACACAAGAACTATGTTCTTTTGTGAAAGCCTAAGAAATTTAGGAAAGGATTTTACTTATTGTTTCCCAGTATTGCAAAGGCAATAAGCAAAAGATGCCAATGATTCCCTTCCTCAATCCTGTACTGAATTTGGAGTGGAGGAGAAAGGAAAAGTGAGATTTTAAGTGTACCACTGTAAGCAGCTGAGCCTGTTGTGCCTACTCTGAAGGGACAAGGAAGAGAGAGCAGAAAAACAAGAACAAACCTTGGGGAGACTTGTTTAGGCACAGAGGTTTATAAAGATGCAAAACTGCATTTGTTACAGTGAAGTGGGTGTGTGCAGTTCTCTGGTAGTTGCCCACACTAGTCTACTGACTTCTGTTGAGACAGCAAAATGATACCAGTAAGGTTGTTAACTTTCTCTCTTACCCTGTATGTGTTGATAAGATTTGTTATTTTTATACTACTTCTAAATAAAGGATCTGCAAGTTCTCTGTAAGCTTTTGCTAATTAGGTCAAACAAGACTCCTGTGAGTTTTTAAGTCAGCTAAGGAGATCACTGAAACTCACTGTTGGCGCACAGTAGCTATTTTAATTGTAAAATAAATTCCTCAGAGTCTAAGATGTGATGTGAGGACTATTTCTGTTGAAAGAGCAGATGACTGTGGAGAGACCAAACATAATTTCCCAATTTAGAGTTTGGTCAGATCAATAACTTTAATTTGCTACTTTTATGCAAAGGGGAGCGGGAGATGTGTGGGGTGACTTCTTGTCTACTTTCAGGAGTAAGACCTAATGTTGTTGGGAATAGCATTTTTGCCAGCTCAGTGTGAAACCAATTTCCCCATCAGCTCCTTTTAAATTTCCTGAGGGATCCTATTAAGGAGCTAAGTGGGTAGCAGGACTTGGTGCAATTGCAGCTATGTGATTTGGGTGGTTTTGGGTGTCCCTAAAATTGAAGCAGTAGTTAAAACTCATCTTGAAAAATG